TCTTACCACATCCCCACATAGTCCAAACATAGCACCATCAGAATACCATTTGTTTGGGTTTCTGCAAAATTCTTTGAACGGAAAATCGTTCAATTCGCTGGAGGACTGCAAAAAGCACCTGAGAGGGTTTCTCGATTTTAAGTCTGGAACCTTCCATGGAAGAGAGCAACTGGAACCTACAGGAAGAAGGCGAGTCCTTACTTGACAGAATGGAGGATATATTGTTCAATCAATGGATTTGTTCTTCTAGGAGTTTTCATTCAAAGATTAATCAAAAATCAGCGGGAACTTTTCGGACAACCCAATATAATTCCCAAGCAAGCCATAGGTGGATTCAGGACCTCAAGTCGAGGTCCTGAATGTCGAGGTCCGTGTGGTGTCTGTCCCACGGCATCATCACGTTTACTTTGAGGAAGGAGTTCCTCGACAAAGATCGCATATCTCGTGAGGCGCAATGTTCGCTCTCGAAATAGAGGAAAGGGGAGTTTTGTTACATTGTTGAGAATTTCTATCTCATGCAGTCGGTGTGACAGTGTGACGGCCCCATTAATGCGTTTTTAATATGTACAAAAAGGAGAATCGGCCCGTAGAAGCAAAATGCGGCGTGGACCAAAGTGGACCAACTGTGTGAAAGATTTGCCCTCGGGGAAACCCTTGTTTTAGGGGTCAGAGGAAAGTTGAAAACGTAGTATAGCCGGTTTCGGCAATGTCCCACTCTTTTCTGTCATGCCGACCCTCCTTGCTAATCGTTATCTAGCTAAAAAACTTCATGTAGAAAGGCTAGTTATTAGTCTCAAAAAGCTATATGTAAAGTTTCGTGTTAGATCGGACGTTAGATTACCGTACTTGCCCTTGTAAGTCCTAACTGTCGATCCGCGAAGCTCATTCAAGGACCATAAGGCAATTCACGGTACTTTACCAGTTGGCAGTGGAGGGGCTCAACATTCCGCATGGTATAGTGCCCCAAATTCAACCTCTGGAGGTGTATTTCTTCTTGCATTCAAAACAACGCGCAGACGTATCGTGTCTTATGTTACCGTTCATGTCTTAATTCCCACTACAAGAGAAGCGCTACTACGAAACCTTATCTTATCGGTGTACTTGGTTAGCGCTTCATAGTTTGCAGCAGGGTCCTGGGATAAGGGCCCGAGAGCGCTTGAAACCCCTGTACAATATTGTTTCTTATCTCGTCTGGACAGGGACTCTGAGAGTCATGGGTGTAGTGATCTTTTCCTTACGTTGCTCCTATTGCGAGGATCTTCTTTTTCAAACACTTCATAATGGACAATCATATGTGTACTTAGGCTGCTCACCTGTCTTTCCTACGTTCTTTTCGTTTTTTCTTTGTGGAAACGCCGATTGAGGCTTACTAGTGAATTTCTGTTTAAAGAGAGGACGGTGTTTTCCCAGAGCATCCCGGTCAAATGAGTCATCCCACCCCCTCTGGAGAAAGTGCATAAGCTGCCAGGAATTTCGCAACACCATTTTGAATTTATGTGAGACCGTTTGGACTGCCTGGGATAGAACTGCACCTCTTATCGACTGGTGGGGTAAGGAAAAACTAGCACTATATTAGCGGTATTCCAGTATTCCTCAAATTCGAGAGTCTGTACATAGTGAACATGAAGACTAAAAGTATTATATTTGGCACGGCATGTTTGTGAAATAGCAAAATAATCGTATCGTACCTCAAGTACCCGAACCCCATCCCTTTCTGTGAGTCTGCCACCTACCAACTATGCCATCGTTGCACGACAGGTTGTCTACTCGGTTCCTTTGTATGGGCAATACAGTGGTATAGCACAGGGGAAATGGTCTCGGAACTTTGCTCTCGGAATCATTCGGTAGCTTCGAAGGGAGAAATGCAGTGAGTACCATTTTCAATTCAGGTTTGGCTAGTATCTCTCTGCCTTGTTTTTGAAAACAGGAGGACAAAAACATCAAAAAATTAATAGGACGGGGCCTGTAGGAAACCTGGCTAGGCGGGTTTTCGAAGAGTTATCTACGCGACGCCATGTTTAGAATAACATTTCTTAGATCATCTGCTCAGCAGTTAAAATTTGCCAAAACATATAATCACACGATTATAATCATTCTGTAATACTATTCTTATTCGCTCAGGCGACAGGCGAGGCAACAGCTCCCACACCATTAGCTCCCACTATTCACGAGAGAGGTATAGTACAGGGAAAGGTGCTTTAAACGGTAGATACGTCAACTAACCGCCTGGTCCCACTCCATTTTCTCCTTTTCTAACTTCCTTTTCCAGTCCTCGTTCAAGTTTTGTATTTCACCATTGAATTTTTCGGCCTGCGCCTCCAGCTCAGCATTTCTACAATGACTTTGATTGGTGAAATTGCTGCATATAAACGTAATAAGAAGCTTACAAAAGCACCTCTCATGCAGTCTAGTGTTGTCCTTGATAACATTGGTTTGCAGCTCGCTCAGCTCGTCGTATCTGGTCTTAATCTCTTCAACCGCGGCTTGAGCTTGTGCCGCCTCGGCCTGATGCCGCTTCGCGTTTTCCACCGCATCCAAGTACGCTATGACACCATCAGCGTTCTTAAAATGAATATACATCTAAAGCATTTTTTAAGATTGTACGAAAAATAACCAAACAAGAAAGTATTCAGAAAGCCAGGGCTGAAGCCTTGGATATAAAAAACTTGCTCAGACAAAGGAGGATTGGAGATGGTGTCGAGTCTACATCGAACCGAACCCTCACTCACTTCAATGTCGACAGCGCGTGCCAGGGGTCTCAGCTGAGTGAGTTCATTGTTGAGCAAATCTCGTGAAACAATTGCATTTTGGAGTTGTTCGGCAAGCTCTGAGCTTTTTTCCGTTGCAGTCTCCAAATTCAGGGCCAGTGACGAGCTTCTGAAAATGTAAGGTCATTACAGTTCACCATCTCACATCATTACAGTTCACTATATGAGTAATGCCAAGGTAAGTTTTCCCGAGCGTCCGATCATACACTGCGAACTGAAAGCATTTGAACACCTCAAGATCCTTTTGCAAGAACTTCCCAAATGACTTTCTCACTATGGTTTTTCTTTTTTCTATTACTTGTGAGCGATAAAGTATATTATTATCTCCCATGGCTAATAGTTTTTTCTTTGCGATTTTTTAATGCCTCTTTGTTGTACCGAGTGTATGTGAACATCCATAATGAGTCGAATCTTTGTAGTTTTCTTCTTAACCATTGTGTCGTCATGCTTTTAAAAAAAGAGCAGGCCCAGATAACGGTTCTACCCGTTGTTAGACACTCTATTTGATATATCGCTCATTAGCTCAAAGGTTCACCCACAATGTCATGATTTCTCCAGAATCCTGACACCTATGAGCTGCATCCAAATCATAATCGACTCTTATGTCACCAAAAGGATGAAAGATTAGCTCGATTTTTTTCGAATCGTCTTTGCCTGTAAACCAACTTTGACTGCAATAAAGCGATAGGTCTCGAGAACGACCATATGACATAACATCCGATGGAATGAGCATAGAGCAGGAGAAATACTGAAGAAAGCTCCTGGTCTGAGCCCACAGCACGCAGCACAAAATTATAAGCAGCCTGTCAACTCTCAGGACGCTACGTTTTCGCAAATTTTCGTATTTAAGCATTCGAATGGTGAAGGTGCGATTACACGAAAAAATCGTAATTCTTCTTTACATCAGCAATTGCGAGGTGCTAGCACACCTCTGGTACACCCTGTAGTTGCCGACCCTTCGGGGGAAAGTTCACGAGGCCGTCTGTGTGGGAATCAAAGGTCAGACGCCGCTCTGACTGCAACAAAGCAAAACCCTAGAACTACAATGCCCAACAAGAGAATTTCGCTGATGAAATTGTTCACGATGGAAGTTTACTATCAAATCCTTGTTAATGTGAATCATTTATGATTGGACTTTATCATTCTCGGCATGACATTGAAAGGAATCAACTCAGGACTACCAGGAGTCAAGAGAGCGAGTCTTTTCGGAAGATTCAGGTAAAAGTTCTGAGTAACAGTGGCCTCGGGCTTTTGCAATGTTTCATGGTGGGTGTTTTCCACCTTTCATTCTCTGAGACAGACCTTTATTACTTGTGTGTGGCCACAATCAGCCATCCTCTGAGAAGAGCTCAAGGAATAATGGTATTACAAAACATGGTCTGTCGTTTTTCCTTGACTCACGCTTTTTGATTTTGGAGAGGGAAAGAGGGAAATTTAGAGGATTGTCAGTCAACGCTGATTAAGATCCTTCCAAATGGCAAACCCTTTCGCCTTGAGAATCTGTTTTCGCTCTTCTATTATGGGCAATGAGGAAAGCGTGATTATGAAAGAAACATTAACTGCATACTTCTCTCTTGCTTCTCGTAGTTCATCAGACAGTCGAGTACATTTTGCTTCCAGCTCTTCGCGAGTCCGAGCTAATTCCGCCTCTTTGTTCAGCAAGTGTGATGACAGCTCTTTTACCTAAAAACTTCTCATCCAGTTTTCCTATGAGAATGTTCATTTTTGACATGTTGATGATGTTGATGCAATGCTTCAAATTTGACGATTAAATAGCTTATTTAAAATCACGAGCTCCTTGAATCATTGCTGTTTCTGACCGATCTTACCTTATCTCCAAGGTATTCCTGTTCACAGCCCATCTTCCGCAACATGTTCAACTCTTCGTCCATAGCTTTCAGTCGAGCTTCTAGCTCTTCGCAACGACTCTGGACCACCTTGCTCTCACTGGAAAAGTCAAATTCACATTCGATCTTAGGTTAGGCCAGCTGCTTGGCGCTCTTGTGAAGCACGTTTCCATTACGAGTAGGGCCACAGTTATAGGATGTCTACTCTCTTGTATTTTGAAATGTCTCACGAAACTTATCAAAAACCTCTGAACGCAGCTGAAGCTAGCTTCTAGAGCTCCGGCGATTCGGAATTTGACAGCCTACCTCATTTGCCGAGCCTATCAGTTTATTAGCGATTGCGTGCATGCTTCAAAATAGCCTATTTACTCGGAAAGAGAAATCAACGTACGCTTCGCTCTTTTGCAACAATTCGGTTTTATTCTGCATTTCCGTTCGTTGCTGATCAATTATTACGTCCTTTGCTGTGGAGATTTTTGCCAAATCGACGAAGTTCTGTTCAAGTGGAGACAGTTTCCGGTCAGTTTGTAGCAAATATTGCTCTCGCTCCTTTATAAACATCCATTGAGAAGAGGCTTGACTGAAGCTGGTCACAAAGAGAATTCACTTCCTCTAAAGGCATACCTGAATTGTTTTCAATGTATCGAGTGCTTCAGGCTCCTCGCTCGTCTCTTCTTTCAGAGGTGATGCTCTCGGTGAAAATTTCTTGGTTCGATGGGGAAGTTCTTTAAATAACTGTGATTTAGAAAACACGAATATCAACGGAAAACCGATAATAGCGCTATGTACGTAACAATCAATCAACAGGGTAAGATAATTATCAAGCGCTTCCACGAATTTCCCTCACTGAGGGTTCTCTGTCTCTGAAGGATCTACAGCTGAATGGTGATTGGACTATGTGCCGCGATCCCAAGTGCTGGGGTGGGGAATAAATCGCGGACAAAAGGTCAGTGGTACATGCCCCGAAAGGCAGGTAGATTCAGGGGATGATCGACTATCTGTTCTGCTCTATTGGTTCAATTCATACCTTCTGTCTCCTCGCAGGTGTATCCATGCACGCGTTCATCGAGAGACTGCTAGTGAGGTTGGCATCCTGCTCATTTGCTAAGCCGAAAGCTTGCCAATCGGGACTGGGATTCGTATGCGCATCCAAGCAATAAGCCTCGTTCCACGCTGGGATAGCCTTGCCAGCTACCAGAGTCTATACAGCCCCCATGTCAGATGCTGGCAGGTTACTCGTGGGTACCCATATGCCATATGCGTGTTCTTTGGCAAATGTAAGGGTGCTACGATGCGAGCTAGACTGTGGCGAACCCTCACAGCACGTCTGTTCATTGGTACCCACTTAGATCTCAAAATAATAATTGATTCCTATTGAGAGGATCTCAATTCTCATGACGGATTATCGTTGTTTCTTGTTCGTCATCCAACGTACCAAAAACTGTACTCCCGAGAATCTTTTGTACGGCATTGACCGAGCGCTCGAATTGTTTTGATGCGTTTTCGTAACTGCCAAATGCCTGCATCCCTCCGTGACAACGTTGACCTTCAAAGAACTTTTTGTACTGATCTCGTAAAAAAGGTTGTAAAAGTCTCCTTTTAATAAAAAAAGTTCTTACATGGAAATCACATTATTGTTTACATTATGCCAGGGAACCATAACGGGATAAAGGGTTGTAAGCTTGCTAGCATTATAAAATACCTTGGAACTTTTGAAACTTGACCAACAACATTTCGAACACCTACCACAATAGTGATCTCAACTTGTTCACAAAAAAGCCACTAGAATTTGATGGGGTGAAGCTTGAAACAACTCTGAAGGAACCATGCTAGGCTTCCGATCGCTCGAGAAAAAAAGGAGAACCTCTAGTTGTTGTTCTGTGGTCAGACATCGGCTGAGATTTACAAGCGTCGAAGTATAGACATCTTAGAAGTTAGCATTTCTAACTCTACAAGATTCTAATGAAAGTCTAGCAAAGCATCTTTTTTCTGAAATGCCATACATTTGGCAACCCAGTGGAAATCGTTGGATTAATATAGGAAATATACGTTACCATCGATAGGTACTACTCAGCCAGTTTGGAGGTAACGTTCGATACCTATCTGTAATGCGCCATGCATTCGGGTTCCACATAGAATAGCGAATACAAAAGGTTTGATAAATACTTGCTAACAACCAACAGCATGACGTACCTCGTACATCCTTGAAAGCCTTCTGACTCACTTATATTTGAATATTCAAGTCTTCGAAAGGGACGATGACGCACAAACCTCTCTATTCTACTGGTTGCAGGTGAATAGTCTTTTTCGAGTGAGTCACCAAACATTGGGAAACCAGTGTCTCCTTTGAAAATTACCTGAGTTGTCATTAAAAAGGGATCACCTCCCCGCCTACCCTACCCACCCGCAAAGGTGAACCGAAATTATAGCGAAGCGAAGCGAACAGCTGTAACTAAGTTCGATAAATATGTGAGAATGCCGATAGTATTGAGAAGTGGAGTTCTTACACCTAAGTTCTCACATGGAACTCATCGAGGAAAAGCAGCTTTCGTTTTGACTGGCTCAAAGTTTGGTTTTCATCCATACTGAACGCCACTCATTGTCAGTACAGCGAGTAGAATCACCCTGATTCCGCATGTTTTGATTACAACCGATCTCGGCTTGGACTAGATAAAAACAGAAAATGCGTCAGTGAATCATCATTTTTGAAGTAAAATAATGATCAAACATTTCGCTAAAATAACAGCGAGCAAGAAGATTGCAAAAGCCCTGTTTAAATGCGACTGAAGAACCATAGAATCTTCTATTAGGTTGATGCATAATTATTGCGGATTTTTTCGCGGCTCTTTTTCTCTCGAAAGAATTTGACTTTCGAGTTCGGGTTTTTTCTAGAAATGATCTACTTGATTTCCTCTACAAGAATATACTCGAAAAACCATCCGTATATTCACGAAATTAGGCTTTACT